ACAGAAAATTTCAGATAGTCCAGAGCCGAGAATAATTTTTACAAATGTTTCTACCTTACCTTTAAGGTGTCTGATGCCCTACCTCTTCACGAAGTGATCGGGAGTGAGTTACGAGGTCCTTTTGAAAAAAAAGAAAAAAGAAATCTAACAAAACTGGTTGATCTGTAGAGCTTACGGGTATTAAGTTTTTCTCCAGCTGCTCCGCACAACGCATCAGGGTTTTCCTATTAGCGAACCAACCGATTTTTCTCAGGTTAGTATCATAATATTACAATATTTCTTTACGTACCTACTCACTGATGCACACCTCCCAAAAACCGCCTTATCTTTAGCTGCGAGAATTTTAAAATGTTTTAAGCTCTCAAATCCCTTTTTTATTCTTTCTGTCTGACTCGAGACAACATTAACTACCATACTATAGTGTACAGTACCAAACTATGCTATACCATACTATACTACACCCTCCTGTATAATACTTTGATGCACGTGTAATAATATCACTTTTTTTGCCATGAAAACTATTAAAAGGTCACATTCGCGAATTTGAAGGTGATAAGAGCACTTGTTCTCTTTTCAAGTGTACACTTATGTAAGGGCTATGCTCTATCACCCGTTCATGAGTGCTTTTTTTCAGAGGAAGAAAATCTGCTTTGACTAGGTTTTCCATTACTCAGAAATTTTATCGTACCTGTGGTTATGTCCTAGCTTTAGATTCTTCTCGCAGCTGTAGCTTAGATTGTTGTCAAGATCATCTTCTAATGAAGCACTCCACTATTGCTCAACTGATATCCCAGCGTTACAAATTCAGCCACAAATCATTGGAGACCCTTTGATTGCTTGTGTCCTTCCAAAGATCAGCCGATTTCTCGGTGAAACTTGGGCTTGGGAGAAAAAAATACCTGGAAAACTTTTAAAACGTTCCATTTCTTTTAATATTCTGCATTAAAAAATCATTAATACATATAATAATGTTACATTTATTATTTTTATTGGTTTATCAACTTATTTACCTATTTTTTCATCTTCCTA